CTCTGGGGCCAGGGTGGCCCCCCCAGCAGCTGCCATGGTGAACCTCGCTGCAGATCTATTGGCAAAGCAGCTGTCAATGGCCATAGCAGGCACACGAAAAATGTGTAATCACTCCAGGCCTGACTCCCGAGCTCAGCTAGCACAACACTGAGCCAAAAGGGACAGGAGACAGCTGGAAGTCCCTCTCGGTCACCTGGAATCTGGCCACATTACACCCTCCAGGACCATGCCATCGATGCCATGGACTGCAGCATCTCTGAGTACCAAGGGTACACGTAACTCTTTCCTCTCTGTATAAAATTAAGGAACGTGCCTGGGTGTGGGTTTCCTTTTTTCAAAGCAGCGTGGGCTGAGTGCCAATGGAAAAGCAATGGAATATCGATTCTTCTGTTCCTTGCTAAGGAGAGAACAAGTCACTTGCTGTGCCATGAGTTAAGTGAGTAAAAACAGACCCTGTCCTCCCCACAGCTGGCTGCGTTTCTCCTCTATTCATAGAACACGGCACATGGTAAAAGCAAACAGATATCCGTTAAACAAATGAAAGCACCATCCGCGCATTTACCCAGGGCCTGCCGTGTGCCAGGCCCTCCGCCACCTTTCCTCCTCCGTCCACCTGGTTCTGCCAACCCAGCCTCACCCTCATCTCCCCTTTGTTCCCTGTGGTGGGCGCTCCCACGTCCAGAATCCCCTTTAAAGCCAAGCCCACCAGCAAGGTCTCTCTCTTTGGCCAGCATTTACCCTGAAAGGGGAACAAAAAAATTGAAAGAACCCATGGAGGGGGGTCAGTTTGGACAGAGGGGGGAAAAATGCAAAAATGGGGAGGCAAAAACATGAATGCCCCACTTGAAAGACAAAGTTTCTCAGCTACAAAGCCCTCCTCTAAAGGCTAACTCTTTGAAAAGGGGGCAAACATGGAACTCTCTTTTGCCCAAAGCTGGTATCATCAGCAGTCACTTCCTATTAATAACAATAGACACATCTTGTACTGTGATTTCAACTTCTAGAGTTCCACACACAAAGGGTGTCTGGAAAAACCACATTAACATGCAATCGGGCATCCGTCCAGAGAGGCTGGGCCGCTAGAGCCCCCAGGACCACCTCTGGGGGTGACATATCCATTCTCTGCCCGTGTGGGTCTGCTCCTGATTGTTTCACGTCTCTGATCTGCAATTTCAGGTTCACTAAGTCTTCGGTCTTCAGAAGCATTTGCCTGTGGCCTATTTAAATTCAGTTATAATCAACTAAAAACAATTCAAGTTGCCTCGAAGGGGTAGCTTATTTCTTCACTGGATTAAGGAAACAAAACAACATAAACACATCCAATCTCTTATACAGAAATACTTTCTGCATCAATTGGATATGACCTGAAATTCTTCAACTAAAAGCCTTTCAATTATCCTCAAAATGCAACGACACTGAGGAGGCATCCTGGGGGATACAGCTGAATGTGCACACATTTTATGACTGCTCTATTAAGGAGGAGCGCCATGTGGGCATGCCATTGGTGTTTTTGTGTTTTTAAATGTAATACATCATACCCAAGTGCAATTGTTCAATCTCAGCATAATAAGTGAGAGAGGAAGGAGACCACAAATCAATTTCTTTTGCAATCTCAATGCCAAGTATTCACTGAAGTGGTTACAGTGACAAAAACGGCTGTGAGGATTTTTTCCACTCAATTTATGAATACCTTAGGGGAGCATTTCCCCCCTTAGACAGCAAGCTTTTACACAGGAGAGCCAGAGACACACAAATAATCTAATATTTAGACTCCTTTAAAGTTCTTTCAAAATAAATTATTCCAGGGCACAGAACAACCCAAAGTACTTTATTTCCTTTTTCTTGGTAATTAAAGCCAGAACGGAACAGGAATGACTGGCTTTTTCATTCATTCTTGTTTTTCATCTTTATTACGGTATCACTGACAAATAAAAAATTGTACATGTTTAAGGCGTATGCCGTTGTTTCGATACGTTGTGAAGTAATCACCACAATCAAGCTAATTAACATACCCATCACCTCACATACTTAACATTTCTTTTTTGTGGTGAGGACACTTTAAGATCCAACCTCTGGGTAAATTCCAGGTCCACTGCACAGTGTTGTTAACTATTGTCACATTGCCCGGCATTAGATCTCCAGAACTTATTCATCTTCCCCACCTACCCACCCCTCAACCCTAAGTTACTTTAAAAGAAGACCACGACAAGGACAAGTGCTGGGGAAACACACAGGGAAAGAAGAAAACCAAGTAACAGGTCAGTGAGACAGGATTTACGTGGCCTGATCCAATAATAAACTCTGAGCATCTTTCCGGTCTCACCAAGGCTCGCGCACCATCCTTTAACTGCGACACCTGCAATAATCCTACAAAGCAGGCAAGGTTTTAGCACAGTCATTTCAGGATGGGAAATTGGGTTAGAGAGGTCAAATGAGTTCCCCGAGGCCACACAGCTAGTGAAGGCTTGAGGATTTGACCTCACTCTTCTTCTAAACCAAGGGTTTTCCCTGGTGTCACACTGCTCAGCCATGGACACAAGTTTCCAGCATCAGAAGTAGCCCCAGCTGTCCCATCTGGAGGCAGAAGGCTCCTCATCTCACTGGCTGTGCTAGACACACACAAAGCAAGTTCTCCATTGAAACAGATCCATCTAGTAGATACATCACTTTGGACTGAGCACTGACCTGCCCCAGGATCACTTTTAAAAACAATTATTCCTGCAAGGACTTGTGATTTGGGTTTCTAGCATTCGGGCCTGAGTTCATTTGTCAGATTGGGCAGGAAGGCTAATCAGGAAAATGATGTTGTATTGTTTAGATCCCAGTGCTGCCCAAGGGCTACCTTCTAGGGCCTGGAAGGATAACTTGAGCCAAAAGCCAGAAGCACTTGTTGTTGGTATTGTGAGGCTAAATTAATGGTGCTACTTTCTCTGCAGTAACTGTTCAACCCTAGCTTCTCAGAGGGCACACCCAGCTAAACCCAGGCACACACATGCCCTTTCCTCTCTCTCACCTGGAAAAGCAGAAAGCCATGTGGCCACTCCTCAAGACCTGGACGTTCTCCTTCTAGACTCTAGAATCTAGAGCACCTCTGGATCTTCTAGAACGTCTTTGGGTCCCTAAACCTCCAGACAACCTGAGAACAAGGCCCTTTCCAGAGAGGGCCCTTAACTGCATCATTTGCCAAGTAAACTTCTTAAAGTCTTAATGCTTTCTCTCCGACAGGCATGGAGGAGCACCCGCCCATAATCTCTCTAATCCGCTTTGTATTTTTAATCTGTACACAGCAGTATCCCACCCCAATGGTGCTGCCATGGATGGGTTGTCTCTATTTTTTAAATAAACCATATCATCAGGTTTTCAACAGAAATTACTGAAGGAAGTAGAGGGTGTATAATTTGACCTGAGCAACTGTAAATTCAGGAAAATACTGGTGCACTACTGTCAAGTGTAATCTAAGAAGTGAAATATTATGGCTTAATCGCAAACGCCTACAAGCCTGAGCATTTCTGATCTAGTGGTTTGAGTTCAGTAATGGGGAGGCTCACAGCGAGTTCCATCTGCCACTACTCCTTGATCACAGCCAAACCACAACCCACCTGGACACTCCTTTTTTACAAAATTAAAGCCACCGTGCCAAAGTCCTTCTGTTACTTTCAAGGACTGAAGGCATTTTTCAACAAACAAGTTCACCAGAATGACTGGACTAGAATTTTTACAATCTCATCCACCAGTACTTTAAAATCCCAACCATATACAGGACAAATTGCTAAACCTGACTTATTATGCCGAATACTAATCAGTGGTTGAAATCCTGGATGATTCCAGTCCACATGGTTACAGCTCAAGCTCTATGTAGAGAACACCTAAGAATGCTTACCTTTTTCTGAGGGGAAGTACAATTTCTTTATTTCCAATTAACACCAGACAGAAGCCACTCATCAAGGGGAGCCTCAAAATATGTTTTAACTTAATCCTTAACTTCACAGTGCATAGGGGAAATATTTCCCGATCCACGTGCATCATTAATCCATTCGCCCAAAACACTGCTAAGGACGAGTAGTAACTGCAGGAAACCCCACCTGTTGGTTCTGAAGACGGTGGAATGGTTACCTCCTGGGAAACAGGCCTCAAGGATTCTGGCTGCTCTTTTCAGAAAGCTTTAAAAACTACTGATGTTTAATTCCAAAATAGGGCCTCCTGCTTCCCATTCCCCTCCTGCCATCGTCTTAAGGAATGTTTTTCGTTTGTTGGCATCCACGTTTAAGTGAATTGTGTTGGTTCTGTCACATGGCACACCCTCCAGTGGGGATTTCTGCCTAACTTCTGATTCACAGGTGTGACCCAGTGATTAAAACTGAGTGAGTTGAGTGCAGAGGAGTCTTGGCTGCATGGCTCAAACAACAGTTTGCTGCTGGCATTGATACCAACATTGCCCTGGCCCAGCCCTTCCCAGGGGGTAACGAAGGCTGCAGATAATGGGGTGGATTGTACTCCAGACACCAACTTATCCAGGACAGCATTAGCCCCTTTCACATGACCCCTGCTGGGTCGTCCCTGGGTGAACAGCCCCGCTTTGCCTGTGCAGGGCCGCTGTGAACACGGAAACTTACGTTTGGTGCACCTCTGGGACCCAGGGGCCTTACTCCAGCCGTGGCAGCACTGCCCTCCACAGACATTGACCCTGAAACAAAGCAACACTTCTGAGTCCAACAGTTGCAACTCTCTCTTCCAGAGAACCCGAGCTTCCAGGGGGTTCCTGCAAGCCCAGCATCCTGCTTCCATGTTCCTCTGGCTTCCAGAGAGTCCTAACGGGTGCCCAGGACGCCCAACCCGCAGCTGCCCAGTTATAAGGATAAGGCCCGTGTATCAGGAAAGGGTGGGGAAACCAAGAGCTCTACAGAAGGAGAGCTCGAGGTCCAAATAAGTGGTTTCCTTAAGCCCTGAAGCAGAGACAAATGTATTTTGTATACTATCTGTACTCACATTTTAAATTGCATCTGAGTTTTAGAAAAAAGGTGTACAAACAAGGAGGGGTGAGATCACAATGCCTGGAAACACCCTTGAAGAAAAACACCAAATAATCTAAACCAGTTTTCTCCACACCCCTAACCTGTGATTTATGGCTTGGGGGGTCAGGGAGGATGTTTAAGAGCCCCCCCAATAACACACTCTGCAACGGGAAATTCTGTCTGTGCTAAGACACACCGCCCTGGAAAGCTGGCCCCACAGGTGCAGAAAAGCCAAGCCCAGAATTTCTAGGATGCTGAAAGGCTCTAGGCCAAAGAACAGGAACCAAAACGTTTTTTTCATTAGCTAGAGAGTAAAAAAAAAAAAAATTAAAATTAAAACTGTGTTGCAAGAAGTTTAATTGATGCTGAGGGATTAAGTTGTAGTGACTTCATGTTTACGCCCAACTTCTAAGAGTGGCGGGGTTCGCGCACAGGAGGTTACGCCCCGGGCAGAAATGCCTTTTGTTTATCCGCAGCTCAGCAACAATGCGCTCGGGTTTATCCGGGGTAAAAAGTCTCCGGGCTTCCCCGCACTCCGCTCCGCCCGCACACCGGCCGAGGGGC